CCTATTTTATAAACTTAGTAAATACGAGTTTAATATTAAGAAAGTCGAATTTTTGGGCTTTTTTATTAGAATAAAAGATATTTATACGGATCCTAAATAGGTCCGTAATATTATTAAATAGCCAGAACCAGAATTATTCTATAATATCTAAGTATTTCTTGGATTTACTAATTTCTACTGCAGGTTTATCTACTATTACTTTCAGGTAACTATAGGCTTAATAGATCTCTTAAAAGAAATAGAAAAGGGCCAGAAATCCGGTTTCTTTATATAAATAAATAAAGCGGCTAAAAGCTTTAAGACTTTAAAAAAAGCTTTTACTATAATACCTATCCTAGTCTATTTTAATCCTTCCAAGAAAATTCGTATTAAAACTAATATATCAAAATTCGTAATTACTAGTATTATTTTATAATAAGTTAATCCTAGTAATAGCCCAAAAAAACACTAGTATCTAGTAGTATTCTGGTCCCGGAAACTCTCTGGAGCCAAACGTAACTATAATACCCATAATAGGGAGCTACTTGCAATTATTAAAGCCTTTAAGTATTAGTATTATTACCTTAAAGAATCCAGGTTCATGATTAAGGTTATTATAAACTATAATAACCTCTAATACTTTATAGAAATAAAGTATCTAGAGAGCTATTAAGTATATTAGGTAATATATCTTGTAATATATGATTTTAATATTATTTATTATAGAGGCGCCTCAAATCCAGTGGACAGACCTAGTAAAAGACCTAATTATAAAGAAGGTCCTATTAATATAACTTGGCTTCTGACCTTTTAGAACAAGTTAAAGAAAGCTTTTATAGTTATGATTTAGAGGTCCTTATAGATATCTAAAGAGTTCTCTCTTTAGAATAGGTATTATTTAATACTTGCCATATCCGTAATAGCCAAGAAGAAATATTTATTATAAGACAAGTAGATAGATTATCTTATAAATCCCTTGACTATAAAATTAGTTAAGAAGCAAGGTATGGGGAGATATCTTAAAGGCTCTACTACTATAGCTAAGGTAATAAGGGTATCTATAACCGTATTACTTAATAGAACTAAAAACTTCTTAGTCCCCCGAGTTTTTAAATTAGATAATTATAAATACCTAATTCCCCGTATATAGATATACGCGGCTACTAAAAGAGCTATAGTACTAGCTCCTCTATCTAAATCCCTTCTAAATATTATCCAGGTAGCTTAGAGAAATAATTCTTAATATTAGAATATTATAAAATAGAGGCTTAGTAAGAAAGATACTAAGGGAAAAGAAATCTGGAAAAATAATTCGGGCCTACTCAGGTACTATTCAAGAATTATTATATTTAATAATCCCGCTTTATATTAAGAAGTCATAAAGCTTTATTATAATAACCTAATAGCTAGATACTATAAAGTAGAGAAAACTCTCGAGCTTTTTAGAAGGTCCTAGTATTAGGAGAACATAAAAGGAAATATTTATAATTATTATTAAGAATATAATATTTACTAGAGAGTTAAGGCAAAGAGGTATTTGCTATATAGCCTACTTGGCAGTTTACTATAGCCTGAGAGATCCTGAAGTAAGATCTCTATAGATTTTATTATAGGTCTGCCATTATATAAGAACCTGGCAGGAGGTCCCGATTTTAATATAATTCTTGTGGTTATTAACTAGTACTCTAAAATAGCGAGATATATTATATATTATAAGACTATTAACTTTCCGGAGCTTGCCAAGATTATATGGGAATATATTTTCTCGATCTTTAGCTTCTCTAATAGAATTATTTCTGACCAAGAAATGGTATTTACTAGCTAGTTCTGGTCCGCTTTCTGCTTTTACTTAATATATAAATAGTATTTGAATATAGCTTACTATTCTTAGATAGATAGTTAGATAGAAAGGCAGAACCAGGCCCTGGAATACTACCTGAGATATTATTATAATACCTAAAAGAATAATTAGTTTAAGAAGTTATCTTTTATGGAATTTGCATATAATAACTTAAAATATTAGGTTTTATAGGATATATCTTTCCATATATATTACGAATACTATTCTTAACTTCTATAAAATCCTGAGAATAGGATTATAGAGGAGGTACTAGCTATATATAAGAGGCTAGAAATCCTTAAAGTAAAGTAGAGAAAGCTTAAGGATTTGTGGCATTATATATAAAATAACCGGGAAACCTACTATAATAGGTACCGGTTAGCTAAATACTACTCTAAAGAAGCCTGGGTAATACTATTAATAAGGAATATTAAACTTAAGGCAGGAAAGCTTAAGCCAAAATTTATAGGTCTGTTTAGGATCCTTAAATATATTAGTAATTCGGTATATAAGTTAGAACTACTAAGTATATATAATTATTTATATCTAACTTTCCATATTTTCTTCCTTAAAAAGTATATGGCAAAAAAGAGTTAGGAGCCATACCTATACTTTTCCGGAGAACTTCCGGAATTAGCGGATAATAATAAAGAATAAGAATAGGAAGTAAAAGCCATTATTAATTACTAATAAGATAGTAGAAGCAAGAAGTAATAGTATTTAATTAAATAAAAAGCCTGGCCTAAAGATTATAATACCTGGTTACCTGCTTTCTCTAACCTTGAAAATTCCAAGAAACTTCTGAAATTATATAACCAAAACCATGGCTTGGAATCCGAAACTATCTCTTAATAACCTCTTAAGGTCAAAAAGAATTCTGGACCACTAAGAAAAAGGCTACTTAAAAGAAAAAGAGGACCTGGATGGCCAAGAAAAGGCCCGGAATAATAATAGAGATACTTTTTCCCTGGGTTTTTTACTTATAAAGGTTTTCTAGGGTTTTATTAAGGCTTACGAGAATTATATTTAAATTATTAGAAAAAGGTTTAGGATTAAGAAAGGTTTATTATAGGTAGACTAGCTACGGGTATCTTAAATAAATAAACTCTAATTCCCACAAATTCCTAATTTCCAAAGCAAGAACGCCAGACGCCGGCCCTATTTAGGACTTAATAAAGAATTAGCTAATACTTTCCGGAATCCGCTTATCTCTTAACGGGATATAGTCATACTATAATAATATTAGTATTAAGGATATTAAGAAGAGTAAGTAAGGAACTTATAATAGCTATATATGCCTTACGGAAGGCCCGAACTTCTGAAGTCAGGTCCCGAATAGCCATAAGTATTATATTATTAGCGCTTAAAGCACTAGTAATAGACTACTTAGTAATCTCAGTAGTAAGCTCGGTAATAAGGTCAATGCCTTAAAGGTAGATATTATGGTATTTCTTTAAGGAATTAGTAAGTACCTAAGCATATTAGAAAAAACTTACTTTTGGGATACTAACCCAAGTGGTATTATTATCTATCTTATTAAGATAGGAAGAAGAATTCCGAAGCTTATTAGTATCCTTCTAGTCTTTAAAAACTTAATTAATAGCATTATCCTTATTAGTATAATACTATTCAGGATATACTTCAAGAAATTTCTTAAAGGTTATAATGGTGTCTTCCCAGAACTAGCAAGCCTCTAATAAGTAGTAAGGAATCTGAAATCGCATTAGCTTTAATAGATATTAAAGCTAAAGAACTTACTAATATATAAAACTCAGAATCCTTATTATAACGGTCATAATTCTTCTTGCCAGGTACTATAATATATAAGGTAAAGGGATTAATAAGCAAATACTTGAAACATTTTAAGCATCTACTAGTAATAGGAAAGGAGGCTGCGAGGTTACCTTTACGCTTATTATTATAGGGACGGACGACGAAGCTAGAAGAAGATATTATGGAATTAATTAAAAACAATTAAAGAAGACTTGGAGAAGGGCAGAAAAAGAGGCTAGAAGGTAATAACAGAAAAAGTTATATATATAGTTATTAGAAAGGAAGAGAGCGTATAGCGACGCGAAGAGATCCTTTTATAGAGGTAGAGAACCACCTGGATTAACCACCAGTTTTCGCGCTAGTCCTAATCGGAAACTAGCATAACCGATTAACGCATGCTTCCAGGAGCCCGCAAATAATCTCCAGGACCTCAGAAATATTCGCATGGGTTTCTCATACGAATATTTATCAAATACTTTCCATGTAGCTATTCAGATTATTCTGATACGAGATCTGACAGGTGGCGTTGGTTTTGTGGGGTAGCGCCTTGGCACTTTGGATCGAGCTAATTAGAACGCTCAGATCCCAAACGAAATCGCGATTACCGGCTAGCCCCTATACCTGGGGTGCAATTACCCTTCCTTCTCGCTTACTCAGCCCCGATCTGATTGGACGATTTTTACGTCCATTGTCCAGATCGCATTAGCAAAACCACCTCCCAAGACACTGGAAGTTTACGTCGATTGAATAAATAATCGATTAAATATTTACTAGGATGGATTAATGGATCTTGGGGACAAGATCCTAGGAGGGGGGCATAGTTGTGATGTGTGCAGGGACGCACGTGACTTAAGGGCATGTGACGAACCTCGGATATTGCGGGTGTTAATCAGGGAGTTCGGCAGCCCTTTGATATCCCAACTAACTACTGTTTACATCATATGCATTAGGCTTATAAATCACTAATTATATGTATGCCATCGGGGCCTCCTATTTAGAGGGGGCTTCCCTGGACCTTACAGGAGGGACAGAGATTAGTTCTGTACTGAATTTAATACTGTGGTTTCACAATACACTGATTCATTCTATTGTCTTATTACCTACCAACAAACACCTCACATAGCCAAAAAACTGCCATTTAAGCCTCTGAGCTATGGCCAGAAACCTTCTTTAAAGCAAGAAGGGCCTTTTATTACTTTCTATTATACGTAGTAAAGTGGCCACAGATCGCAAGTAAAAGCCATTAATTTGGAGAAGTCTAGATATTAAGAGAGATATAGATAAGTGAGAGTATAGCCTAAAGTACTTATCGTACGGTATTCTGATATTTTCCCTAAGCTTCTTTAATTAAGCTAGTAATTCCTGAATAAGAAGTCGTAATTTTGCCCGTAATAGCTCGGTTTAGTAGTTAGCAAAAGGTATGGAACTCTGGCCATTCAATGAGAGCATAAGACAAATTCCGTATAATAATAAGAGAAATCAAAGCTTTAGTAATAATTGAGCTATTGAGATAGGCTTCCAGGATCTCGGTATTAAGCTCCTCTCTCTCGCTCGTTCCAGTAGCTTATTAGTAATATTACTTCAATTACAAATTAACCGCCACTTGGTTCTTGCTTAAAACCTTCTCAATAATAATCTAGTAATAGCCTTTCAAGTGCTTCTTTATATTCTGAGTAATAGAAGTACCATATGGCGATTTTTCTGAATCAGTATAATGAGTGCAATAAAGATAAGCTTGGTTCTTCTCCTTAGTGGGAGAACGATAGTACTCCCAAGCAGGAGACCTCTATTTTGTATAATTCTGGGAAGTCAAAATTAATTCTGCTAAAGCAGAAGCTAAAAAGGAAGAGTCTAGTTCAGATAGAGAAGACATTTTGAGAGTATAATCTGAATGGAATCGTAATATGAGGTGAGAGAAGTAAAGAGAGTAAAAATTAAAGGGTACGGGATAGAAAGCGATATAAGAATCGATTCGGTATCAATACGTATCGATATTAGTAATACCTGAGTAATACTATCTAGTATCAATACCGAATCAATGCCTCAGGTATCATTGCCAAGCCTGATATGTCCTCTAAGACCTAGTTAACCTCGGAGCCTGGCCCTTAACTAGAGCAGACGACGTTCCTTGTCCTCCACGACCTAGTTAACCTCGGAGTCTGGCCCTTGACTAGAACAGACAATAACCCGATAGTCGGTCCTCTGCCGACTTAAAAGAAAAAAGATTCCCGTCCTCCATGACCCAGTTAACCTCGGAGTCCGGCCCTTAACTAGAGCAGATAACGCTTCCTCGATATTAACGAGAGCAAAAGAACCGGCATCTCCCTCCAAGAATCGGCGATCCTCCGATTTAAAACAAGAGATACGCTAATCGGTTTCGGGTTCCCGATTTAAAACGGAAGAAACCCGGTAATTAGTTCTAGTTCGCCGATTTAAAACAGAAGTAACTGTCTCACGATTGCCCCTTCCGCAATTATCCCTCCCTTAATCGCCCCTTCCTCGTTTGCCTCCTCCTCGTTCGCTTCTCATACGGCCGCCCCTCGTACGATACTACTACTCCTCCGATTTAGACGATTCGGACGATCCTATCCCAGGAGCTTATTTATAACATCCTCCTACTAATGATTTATTATCTGAGGAGACCGAGAGCCGACAAGATCCTGGCGAAGCTAGCTCTGGAGCCGAGTTTAAATCGGATACGGAGGCTAGTTCCGGTTCTATAAACGATTTGGACGGTTCTGCGGATGGTTCTGGGGACGATTTGGACTCTGCAGATAATTCGGGCTCTGCGGACAATTCTATAGACGGTTCCCTGGACGAGCTTGGTTCTTTGGATAGTTCTATGGATGATTTTGCGGACGATTCTGGGGATGATTTAGGTTCTGCAGACGATTTTGGGTCTGAGGCTAGTTCTGGAGCCTCAGGTGAAGGTGGAGGTGGCTATTAGTTAGATAGTGACTATTAAAAGCTGGCCGTTTTGGGGGTTTCGTCAAAACCCTATTTCCTTTGTATACCTGAATGAGGGCATTCAGATTTGGTTTCCGGGGGGGTGATGTGACGGCGCTGGCTGGGGGCCAAAAGGGGGTAGCTATCACATGACTGGTTTCACCTAGCTAGCCGGCGTTTCAGTGGTTTTAGCTAGTATTTCCCTCCTTTTATCCCCTTTCCTTCTCTCTCTCCTTCTTCTCCTTAGCTTAGTATTCTCAATACATGGGATTTTCCTGGATCTTTGAGCCTTTGTACCATTGCCTCGATCCCGCCGTCACACACTCCATACTTTACCCTATATTCTACCCCTTTACCTTGACTACTTGCGTAGCACCCTGCTATATTAGGAGCCTCACAATATACTAATTTATTAAGTTTTCGTTTTTGAGCCCTATAAGGCCTTATAAATTATGGGCTTATAGGGCTCTTAAATCTGGTTTTAGGAACTTTTTCGCTAAATTTCTAGGCTTACTTAAGCTTATCTATAGGCTATAAAATATAAAACTTTTAATTTCTTTAATTTAAAGAGCTATTACTAATCCAAAGTTTATAAAAAGTTTATATTTAAATAGCGCTTAATTAGCGCTATAAGAAAATAAAACAAGTACATCTGGTATCTAGCTAAATAAAGGGGAGCTGCTCAATAAGCTGAGCTAAGCTGCCTAGTACCCGTACCCGTACGACATTAATCAATTAATTCAATCAAAGGGAAAATGGAAACTGGGACATTAGATCGTCCCACCCTTTCATCGAAACCGAATCTGTCGTTGTTCTTTTATCCGACCTTCGCAAAGATCAAGTAGGTTGATAGAGCTGGTCGGGATTATGTCGCTTGTGGCGCATCCCTCTTGATTCAGAACAGGGCCCAATGCACGTTCATCAAATCACCTCCATCAATCAAATCTCTTCGATCGGATGCATCTGCCGCCAAAGAGGCTTGCATCCGGCCGTCCTGTGAGGTAGGATCTGCCACACACGGTGTGCTTTCACCATGCATTTCCCTACATCACCCAATTACAAAGGTGAGCACTTTCAACCTCGCAGCCTTACGGCATTCTGACCAAAGGCAGGAGCCCGTATCTGCATGTTTTCTCCTTTAGGTCCCGCACCTTGCGCCAAAAGCATGATTTTGGCGAATTGGAGAGATTTGTGGCGTCCTGATGACGGCTCAACTGGATTCAGCTCCGCCAGTTCAGCCTCGATGTCTCATTTGCTCACAGAGCATCATACATGCAGATCCCCACGAAATGCTTAAGGATGGCTTCCACGCCCTGTATGAGTTACGTTTTCATCGTCTTCAGACACCTAGCGACGAAAACAACATGTCAGAACCATCATTTCCCGGCCGCGTTCTCATCAAGGTCTTCAAGGGAGTAAACAAGGTTGTGGCTTGGCACAAACTTCCCTCCTTTATCGGCGTCTTCAACCTCCTTGCTTTCCGGCTCGAGCTCCAAAGAGACAATCTCCATGATGTATTACCCAATGTCGATTCCCAAGGCACCACCGCCTCTTGTCCCATGAAAGATCCTCGGTATCTCGTGACGCGAAACTCCGATGGACTATTCAATAAACTCGATGAGCCACTAATGGGTTGCACAGGCATGAGATTTGGGCGTAATGTAACCAGAGAGCATACAAAGAAACCGACCCCGGAGGAACTGTTGACTCCGAATCCGAGGGTTGTGAGTGAGCAGTTGTTGAAGAGGACAGTATTTAAGCCAGCGACGATTGTGAATTTACTCGCGGCTGCCTGGATACAGTTCCAACTTCACGACTGGGTTATGCATGAGGACGTGAGTTTAGCCCTAAATGAAGAGGAATGGAGAGGCTGACAATGACAGTATGATCCTGGAACCGAAGATATCGAGATCCCACTCCTCCCAGGCGACACCTGGCCCTCTGGGCACATGAAAATCCCACGCACGAAGCCTGATGCCCCGCTCTCGAAACTCGACGAGTCTTGTCCTGCATACAAGAACATCAACACAGCATGGTGGGATGCTTCACAAATGTACGGGTCGGATGAAGCAACGACCATGACGCTTCGCCAGGGGGCCGAGTTCGGAAAGCTGAAGATGAGGAAGGAGGGACATACGGAGTATCTCCCACGAGATGAGAACAACTTGCCCAAGACTGGATTCAATACGAATTGGTGGTTGGGATTGGAATTGCTGCATACGCTGTTTGCGCTGGAGCACAACGTGATTTGTGATATGTTGCATGAGAAGCATCCTGATTTCAGCAGGTAGGTTTAAAGACTGAGTAACGAGAAGACCGACTGACACCGTACTAGTGATCAATTGTTCGATACAGCGAGAATCATAAATTGTGCCTTGATGGCCAAGATCCACACTGTGGAGTGGACTCCCGCGATCTTGGACCACCCAACGATCGACACAGCTTTACATGCAAACTGGTGGGGATTCCTGGGAGAGAAACTCGACAAGCTTCTTGGGCATATCTCAAAGAACGAGTATATATGTGGAATTCCAGGGTCAGGAGTAGACCAGAACAACGTTCCCTACTCCCTCACAGAAGAATTCGTCTCTGTTTATCGTCTGCATCCACTCATCCCAGGTGAGCCCATCCTCCCATAATGGATTTCAACGCTGATATCCGCAGACAATGTCGCCTTCTTCGACACCAAAACAGGCTCCCACACCAAAACAACACCCATCAAAGACCTCGCCTTCTCAGATGCTCAGAATGCGATCGACGAAACAACCACCTTCGGAGACGCCTTCTACAGTTTTGGCATTAACTATCCGGGTGCCATAACCCACAATAACCACCCGGACTTCCTGCGCCAAGTCACTACTCCTGACAAACAAACACGGGACATCGCAACTGTGGACATCCTTAGAGACCGCGAGCGTGGTGTCCCAAGATATTGCGAGTTCCGCCGGCTCTTCCACATGAAATCCCCAGCGACCTTCCTCGAACTGACAGGCGGGAATAAAGAGCTCGCGGACAAAATTAGTAGTATTTACGCTGGCGATCTCGAGAAGGTTGACTTGCTAGTGGGCATGTTTTCCGAACCACTGCCAAAGGGTTTCGGATTCAGCGATACGGCGTTCAGGGTCTTTATCCTGATGGCTAGTCGGAGGATTAAGAGTGATCGGTTCTTAGCTGGCGATGCGTGGGGCGAGCATGCATATACGAAGGAGGGGTTGAAGTGGGTGCAGAACGAGACGATGGGCAGTATATTAATGAGGCACTTTCCTGAGTTGAAGCCGGCGTTGAAGGGGAAGGACAATGCGTTTCGGCCGTGGGTGAAGGTGGGAAAGGCTGCGGAGTATAAAGGGGTAGAGACCACCGCGTGAGGGTGAGCCCGTAATAGCTATTGCACTTGGATATTTAGCGAGCGTTGCAAAATTGGTCAAAAAAATGATTTGGTTCAAGCGTCTAGTCGGGGTTAGAATGAGAGAGAATTTGCTTACTTGACAATGGCAGGTGCATGGTGACACCATCAAACGCGATGAATGGTAAGAGTGTGTGCTGTGATTGGACAGATCCGGCGAAGGCGCTGCCCCAGTCTTTGTCGCAAGCTGGCTAAGGCTGGAACGTGAAAACATTGCCATGAGACGCCGTTTCGAAAGAAGAAGGTGGGAGGGGTTTTAGCCCGACCGGCGAGAAACCGTACGGAATCTCTCTTTTTTTTGGGTTGAAAAACGGCTTCTCCGAGAGCATGCCTGCTAAGTCATTTAAGTCTCAGCGAAGAAAGAGTGAATGTCAGTCTTGGCTGCATGAGCAAGTTCATGTGACATCCCCCCAGAACCTTCCGAGGAAGGTCCAGGTGATCCTAGTTTTTGACGTTAGTAAACGTTAATTGAATATGTGCGAGAGAATTAACACTCGACAGCTTGAACCATTTGCAAATTTTAAGCTTGTTTCGGGTTGTATGCGTACCTTCGTAATTAACTTCACCTTCAGCCGATTCGACTTCAGGAGAGAAGCCTATCTATGAACTTGAGTTTAAAACTGAAAAGTTTACGCTTATTAAACCATTTCAAGATTCAAACTGTATTGCTTGAATTTGAATCTCCTTAAAGATGGGCGTCCCAGTTGAAAGAATCTAGGTTCATCATATTTGATATTGAGTCCCCCGACTGCTCGGGGAAGAAGGATAGATTGCTTGAATGGAATTCCTCCAACGGCAGGAACTCGTTGACCCTAAGGTCTTGAGATTGCACTCGTTCCGAAGAGCTCATGCTTGCAAAGCTCTGGTGTGTGTGTGATGTGCTCTCGACATTAGAGTCAGGAGCTGTCCCGATAGAAGGAGATAACAACGCGTCTTCTGAAGACTCATGGGCAATGTTCGAATATGCGGCAGATAAAACCGAAAATCCAGCGGAAGTACTGTTCGCGGGCTGTTTTCCTTTGCTATCCTGAGACGAAGCTGCGCGGGACGGATTCGAGACGTAACCAGAATCAACAGAAGGGCCGGTGTGACTATTCTCGTCGACCATGGTGCGGTATTCAAGAAAAGCACGCCTCACTGCTTGCTCGACAATACCAGGTAGCTGCGCTTTCAAGCGCTCCTCGATTGGTTGCATCTCGTTGTTCAACTCGCTTTCTATAGTGCTCCTAACGAATCGCGTGGCGGAATCGCGGATGAAATCTTCGCAGTTGATGAGATGTGTCGAATCTGGAGAGAAGGACCTGCTCTCCACTTTGTCTTGCACTTCTTCGAAATCTGGAAGATCTTGTCATTAACAACCTGAACACGATCACGGGAGAAAATTGACTAGAAAAGGTTATTGTTCAATTTGGTTGGAGGCACTTACAAGGATCAGGTACCTCTTCATCATCCGGGAAGAGAATTGTGTAAATTTCCTTCCACCTCTCTGTTTCTGTTTGACCTGGGAATGCTTTCCTTTTGCACTGCAGGACAACCTTTATATTCCTCGTAATGCCATCCACAGGTGGTGCAATCGTTGGATGGCAATCTTTAGATGTCTCAATATGAGAATTCAATTCGGCATCCGATTTCAAAAGACTCTTGCATCGTTGACATTGGTGAATAGTGTGGTATTTGTACAGATGGCCTCTGTGGTCGCCACACCGATTAGCTCTATCTGAGGTCGCGCCATAGAAAGTACTTACTTGACTCGTGCTAACGTTTTGTGAGGAGTGAGCGCGCAGGTACGCCAGTCTCGTACACAATACTTTCGAGGATTACGTTTTCGGTATGGACATGCAAATCCAGCCGGAGTTTGATCTGTATTCGGCGGGAATTCAGGCGGTATGCCTTTTCCGCCAGGACCGTCCTTCGGATCGTTGCTAAAATTCTCATCGTCACGTTTATCACCATTCCGACCACCTCCAGGATTTCCTCCTGCAAGGGTGCCCTGCCCGAATTCGAAGCCAAAGGTTGATCTTGATGTCGATGCAGAATCGCCTGGATTTGAAGGGCATTTTCTGAAACCAGGGCACCATTTTTGGTTGAAGATTATCGAGAATTCTTCCATGAGGCGATTTACTACCTCCCTTTTCATCGGCTCCAAACTATCCCCAACGAGAGAGGATTGATCCTCCACATCTCTCTGCACAAGAGCAGAATAGTCACACTCGACTTGGTGTACGTAATTATCTCCATCGCTGTCTTCCTCCCAGTCTGTTAAGTCTTCGACAATGGTTGAGTCAGTCATAAAACCGCTCTTCGAACTGTTTTCAGAGCCTGCTGAATTGCTCCGGACAGTTTCAAGATTTACAACCTTCTTACTTCCTCCCTCCGACAAAAATTCAGAGGGCTGGCGTGATTCTGTATCCAATTTGCTGGAGTTCTCGTAGGAAAGCCGACTAAAGCGCGAGCCGTCTTCATGTGAGTCGCCGGAGCCAGTGGAAGGATGGACCCTTTGGTTGGAAGTCTTACCATCAAGACTGGGTGGTTCCCTGGCATTGTCCGCAATACTAAGTGGTGCCCTAGATCTCTCTGACCCTTCACGCGCTTTAGCAAGTCCCAACCTTAGGTCAGCTACACCTGCACAAACCGCGACCTGTGAGCTGCCGAGGCCGATACTGGGTGGGGTTAATTCTGGTAGAGAACTTCCGGTCTTGGATGTGGTCATTCCCATGCTGAGTACAGGGGTATACTGGGTGTATTTTCTCACCTCGCTCTCACCCCCCTCACTCCCAGTTTTGTTAAGCCCCGAACTTTCCACGCTATCTTGCATCTCGTTCTCTGTTTGCAATAGCTGCTGCCCTATACCATCAAGGGGACACTTATGGAGCTTGAGCAACCTCTCGATCTCCTCCTGATATCTGGTGTCCGATTCCATTCGTAAGTGTTGGAAGTCTATGCTGTAGATACTCTTCCTCTGCTTGTCAAGCTCTGCCAAACTTCTGGTAAGGTAGGACCTTTCGCCATCATTCCGCAACCCCAGTAACCTGTCTTTAAGCTCCATTTTTTCTTCAAGCTCCCTTTTCCTTTTAAGCAAATCCTTGAGAAGTTGTTGGCCGATAAAGGTCTGATCAAGGGTCTTGCGCTGGTCGATCATCTCCCGCTGGATTTCCAACACCATGCCCCCCTGGAGGGACAGAATATAATTAAGAATTCGCCACGCAGACTTTTTTGTGTCGTCATGGCGGTACACCGCCGCCACAGATTTGAGTGAAAACCCCCAGTGGTATTGAAACCATCTCCTCACTATCCTCTCCTCCTCCCAAGGGTTCTCGCTTTCAAACATCGTTGTGGCTAGGACCAAGTGTGAGAGAGCACTTTTCCCGCAAAGTGCTTCAATAATATTCTGACATCTCCTAGCCGAACTCTGTATGCCAAGACCCGTCATCCGTTGCAGGTAAATTATGCCAGCTAGTTTTACAGATGTGCTGGAATATATTAAGCCTAGGAAATAAATAATTTCTTGGAGGATTTCTAAGTCGGATCGATTTTTGTCATCGAAGCTCGGAGTGTCTACGAGGGTGACGGCGCGATTCCCCAAAGTAAGAGAATAAAACCCAATTTCAGATGTACCTGTATGTTGTTTAAAATCATTTACTTGTTTAGGGAGGGTTATCAACGCTCACATGGAAGCATGCCGTGGCCAATCTTCACATCACAGTCTGTGAGGTGCTGGATGAAGCTGCTCTTCCCAGCGCCAGTCATACCCATGACAAGAATAACTGACACGGGTCTGCGGTATTTTAGTGCCATTTCTATTCGCAATGATGGAGGAGGTCATACTCTTCCATTGGTTGAGGAGAAGCTTGCTGGTCCCCGTCTTCCAATTGAGCCTTTCCCTTGCCTTCGATGACTTCGATATCCACCTCCGGGACGGATCCTTGGGTATTCGCTCCGACAACCGTTTCCATAGCCTTAGGCTTAACGTATACAAAGCCGCCATAATAGTTGCTCCCACCGCTCATAGGACCATAAAAGCCGCTCACTCCCCGACCTCGGTTGTTGCCATTAGACATAGCAAGGAATGTAGTCTGATAATTGAGATTTCAAAGAGTCAAAGCACAGCGATGAAGCGTAATATAGCACAGAGTCAACTAACAAGTGCGAAGAAACTGCTGGGACATGTTGTAAACGAGGAGGGGGAAGTGATGAATATTCTTGGAGAATTGCACAAAGTTGCGATTCTCACTGCGGATGATTTGGTGTGGCTGGGCGTGGCATCCACACCAGCCTCACGATTGGGCATCACCTCCGCTGAAGACGCCTCCAAAAACACGAAGCTCTTGTGGTATCGTGAAACATATTAAGTTGGATCGCTAGCAAGGGCTGAATTGAGTCTATGCTAAAGAGCCCTGAATTCGCAAATGGGAAGCAAAGGGATTGAATAAGCCAGAATAACAAAGTAACAAATAGGCACTACCCGAATAAGGCAACCTTCGCATGCGGATGGCCAGACAAAACTAGCAATAGATATCTCGAATGTATTCTGTCTAACTCATCGTCATACTTATACAATCATCTATCCTCATCTGATATCACCCAGATCTATCGTCTATCATTCGAATTCTTTATCCACACTCTCAAAATTATCAAAGAACCCCTTGAAGACCTTCACCCCCAACCCCGGATCCAATGCGCCAGTTGTGGCACGAATAGAATGCATGCTCAGCTGCGGGATCCCTGCATCGATCGCTCTAACTCCCATCGCAGAGCTGAGCATGGGCCCAACAGTCCCTCCACTGCGAGAATCGTTCCTGATCATGAAGAGCTGAAGACAGGAATCAGATTTCTCCGCAATGCGTGTGAGCAGCGTGGTGGACACGGAGTCTGTCGTCATGTGGCCTTTGGAATCAGCGGAGACGACGAGCCCGACATTGAGCCGAGGAGCGTGGCCTTCGAGGTATGAACCGAGGAAGTTAGGGTTCACGGCGTGTGTCACATCGGCAGAAATCAGGAACGAGTTTGCGTATGTCTGAGAGAGAACATTGGCGCTGCTCCCCTTGGCAAACGATTCGGAGATCCGCTCAACCGTGCCGGGTAAGAAGTTCCCTCGTGCACCTTGTCGAAGGAGGGAGCCAATTTCTTCATCGTCAAAGACGCCAACTAGTTTCACGATGCCATCGTCCTCAGACGTAGGAGCAGCTGCTGAAGCAAGAAGACCTTCCATCGCAGACCAGGAGCAGAGCTTATCGTCGATTCTTCCGGCGAAGATGAATTCCTTATCCAGTCCTCCAACTTGTGCGGGCTGGGTATCAAAGAGCTCGAGCTCCCAGTTGACGATCGAAGAGTAGTCTTGAATGCCGAGCTCACTAGCGATGGTACGAACGAGCTTGGGTGGTTGGGTGGCTGAAAATGTACCCTCCCCTCCCAAGGTGAGGTTTTTGAATTCTTCCCCGGCCACGATGTCGGAGTTGTCGAGACCAATGATGGGAACGGCTTGTGTTTCGGTGTTGTTCGCCCCAAACATGCCAACACCGAAATGGGGAGCGAGGGTCGGAATTCGAGCAACTGTCAAGTCAGTAAAGGTTCATAGAAGGATGTGTGAAACGTACTGGGCCACCCAAGCTTTACCAACTTCGTGGTAATCTTCCCAGTCGAGTCTTTAACCAAAACTCTCCCTCCAACCCCAAGGTCTCTATCCCACCATGTCGGGTTCAATGCCCCAGCATATGGAGCAACACCAAGCTGCACATACCCAGCAGCGGTCCTCTTGTTGCTCACAGGCTTCAGTCGTGCAGTCAAAGCATCGACATGACCAGCAATCATAGCCACACCATTTCCGCTCTTGTATCCCCCTCCAATTGTGAAAGCAATCAACGAGCTGCCATTCCTTGAAACGAAGTATTTGCCTCCCTTTTGTAGTTCGTCGTTCCAGGTCTTTCGCTCGGATAGCTGTAAAAGATTAGAAATGTTCCGATTTTTGATCCAAGTGACATACCTTCTTGAACCCAGCTTTCTCCAGCTTCTTCTCAAAATAGGCCACAGCATGCCAAACCGTCGGATTCTCTGTCAAGAAGTCGCAGAATGGCTGTGTGTATGCCTCGGGACTCTTCAGAGCGTTGCCCTCGCGTACTAAACCCTTTGTAATCAAGCTCCCCTTTGGCTTGTTGTGTTGCTCTTGCAGACTCTCGTTGTACTTCTCGAATAGGCTCTTCTCGGGTGTCTCTTTGTTGGCTGGGACATCTCGCTCTGCCCAAGGGGACAGGGCCCCGAATGGAGCTGGCATTCTGCTTGGGCACGGTAGGGGCGGAGGGAAAAGATGGGGAGGTGGTGCTGGATATGTTGTGCCAGTAGAATGCTGCGGATAGGCATATCCGCAGTCCCTATACGTCCGCAGGGCTTCGAGGTCTTTCGGAAAGCCTGGAAAGCTCGCGCGAGGGAGTGGAGATATGGACGACTCTGCTCTTGATCCGGACCTCTTATTGATGTCGGCCCGCAAGGCTCTCGATTGTTCTGGCGATGGATACAATGATAATGACGGTGCAGACGACTCTCCTGCTCTTGATCCAGACCTCGCATCGATGTCGGCCTGCAGGGCTCTCGATCGCTCTGGCGATGGATAGAATGATAATGACGGTGCAGACGACTCTCCTGCTCTTGATCCGGACCTCCCATCAATGTCGGACTGCAGGGCTCTCGATTGTTCCATGGATGGATAGAATGAAGGAGCAGAGGGGTCTGCAGCACTTGATCTAGCTCGTCCTTCATACCCGACCTTCATCTGAGCAATGCGTGCCTCGAGATCTGCCATCCGTTGACGAGCAGCGGCATTGAGCTCTGTCTCTGAAGGTGTGGGACGAAGAGAGAGGTTGCTCGTGCTGTTGCGGAGCGAGTTGGGGCCGTTCTTCACCATAATTACGATGTCAATCGGTGGTGACGAAGGAGTGAAGTCGGGATCGGTGAAGTGAGGTTGGAGATGCTTGGCACGGTTGATACGGCGATGCTCCACCAGCTCTTATCTGTGGATCCCCTGAATCTTGGCAGCACACATCAATATCATAATCACTTCTCAATTGCAACATAACATTGATGATCTCACGACATAGAGTGGCATAGCACGAAAGTATCACGGTTACACTACACGATGGAACTTATTTCATGGTCAAAAAAAACTTTTTGATTCCATTTCTGTGGTATTTTCCGTTTCTCTCCACCCGATCACCGAAAAACAAGAAAGCCATCGAGGCAATGCTTACGCTCATCGCAAATAACCATAACCATCAATGTCAGAGCCCACATCCGATTCGAATTTGAAGATCAGAAGGGTCGACATGTCTCAACGGACGGCTTAGTAGCCGAGTTGAGAAGGAGCATCTTGGGTGTTGCTGGCGAAGCTTCAGCTCAGTTCGTTGGCAAAGAGGAAGCAATACTCACGGATCATATTGATCGTTGTCGCCATAGTGGCTGTTGTACATGCCCTCGACCTGCTGCTTGGCGTGGTGCTTGGCCTTCTCGCGGTCGATGAAGTCCATACCCTTGGTCTCGGCCAACTTGTCAACCTCAGCACCGGCGAGACCGACAAGGAGCTCCTTGGCGAATTGATGGGAGACGGGCTTTCCTGTGAGGTATTAAAACTGTATCTTCATCTGGAAGTGTTCAACACATACCCTCCTTGCGTTGTCTGTCCTCGAACATCTTGAAGGCACCAAAGGAAGCGGCACCAGCTAAGGCCTCATGACCGAAGGAGGATTCGTTGACGTCGCCGTTCTGGACTTGATCGTAAGAATCTTGAGCTTCGCCTGTGATTACGGTCAGCAATTGGCAAGACGGCGATGATATGGCGGTCAGGGGGAGATCAGGAGGGGTGAACGGTGAGCCGGAGCATTCTATGAACTTACCCCAGCCGAAAACCATCTTGACAGATTTAGGAGGTTGATTGAAGAAGTGGGAAGTGCTTTTGTTGCTGGGTGGAGTTGATTGAGAGTTTGGAATTGACGTGTGATGGAGGAAGGAGGTGGAAAAGGGGCAGAAGAGGGGTTTATATACCTGCGGAGCTTAACTCAAAGCAGGGCATCTCCTCGCCATTCACTGCCTCCTGTGCCGGCTCGTTTTGAGATTCACCATTCAACACTCACCATTCAGCAGCGTTGAAACTGTGCGCCAGCCCCACACGGGTCTCACATCAGACCATTCACAGCTCTCAATCGTGGAGCTTTTCAGGGCAGAAGGCGCCCATTGACCCCACATCCTGCAGCGCTAAGTCCGTCCAGGCCGTGCACCAACAAACGCAGCTTCGACTTGCCCCTCCATCATCCCATGCTGCCCTGGACCCTCGCCTCCAATCGCCACTCAGCTTGCGTGGCTGCACCGCTGGATCATAAGCTTGATCAACCAACTTCATACTGCTCAAGCTCGTATCAAGTGAGCGTCTATTAACCTCCCTCGCACTTAGTTTCGTGCCTTTATCGCCAGCCAATACCACACTCCTCACGAACTGCAAACAAAAAGAAGGAATATTGATTGCCTGGGTAAGAACTCCAGAGCTCCAATGAAGACAGCTGTGAGCTCGTATCAAATTGAAACATCCCACACTGAAACGGAGTATGACATCAACCGCCTTCTTCCGCCCCTCGTTCAAATCCTCAATGCATCGATCATCAGGATCGTCAGGGCCATATTCATGCCTCTTTCAGCTGTCTCTACTAAAAATAAGCATTGGGATGGGTAGTTGATTCATGGAGTGAAGCACCGAAGGCGAATTGATCTCCTAGCTCGCCTTGCTTTTCTTCCAGATGCATCGCCTAGTGAGGAGCCAGGACGACCCCTCTATCAAGGCTGTGCAGCATCATCAGCTTCATGCAGTGCCGCCTGTAGCCTGGATGAACTTGATTCTGCATGAGCAGACTAAAGTTAATCTCACCAGCAGGAATTGAAACTGGCGCAGCCGTCTTAAACGGGGGGGGGGTCCTTTTGGGGGGGAGGGAGGGGGAGCTATCCCTGGTTCAGCCGGAATCTGTGGCATCTGCGTGGCAGTCTTGGCTGACGACGCTACCGCTCGCCTCAGGCTTGGTGAAAGCTTGACGAGCTTGTTTCATCGCCCACTGTGGCGAACCCTGCATCTGCATTTCAGGTTCTCGTTAATCAATCGCGCAACACGTGAGAGCTGCACCCTGGTTTGAAGAAATTAGCTGCCCGAGATCCGGATGGCACCACCTTTGACTCTCGCATTGCTTTCAGTAGAAGAATCCACTAGCTAACCGCCCAAACCCCCCCAACCACCCACCCCTTTTCGCCACAACAACGGTATAAAACCGAAATTTTGAGTAGATATTCGTAATCAATGACCTTGGTATAGTGATTCAGGAAGTTTTTAGCATTCTCCTAGTATTTTAAAATCATTACAAAATTTTGGTGTTCTAATAGGGGTATGAGAAGTAAATGCCTCTAGCGAGGCTCTAGCGAGGGGATTTGATAGCGGGGCGTGCGGGGCAAAAATCCTCTTCTATATTGTCCTACGTTCGGACCACCCTAAGCGGTTAGCTCCCAGTACTCCCTGGAAAAAGCGGGTCACGTGAGGAACACCAGAATCTCTCCCTTCTAGGGAATCGCGCATCGGAACGTAATTACGTCCAAATCCTTAGGGCTTAGCTTAGGATAAGAGAGGAGAAGCTCAAGTACCTTTCTCTATATTTTAGTAGTTCTGGAATGCAAGGGGCTTTTATTACGATTTTTTAAAGCTCGGGAGGGGGCGAGGGAAATTCTTAAGGCACTGGCTAGCTCTCGGGGCTCCCTAAAAAATACAGGTCACGTAAGGAACACCAAAAAAAAAAAGCTGGCCTCACATTACTCTTCTCTTCTTCTTCTCTTTATTACTTTCACATTTACTACTTTCCCTTTTACTTATATTATAGACCCTCCTCGCTTTTGTACTACCTATAAGTAAAACCGGCCTGCTTCTGACTTTATTACAGAGCAAGGCAAGCAATATAAGACCTGTAATTGCTATTGAGTTTATATTTTCCCCCTTTTCTGACTTAACTAACCTATTAATAGGCCCGGAATACTACTAATCGTACCCAGCGATACCCTGCCTTATAAGAACTCGATCCGAATACCCTCCCTATCTCCCGGCAACGACGACGGTCTATTACGGACGTCTCTACGGACGAGCTAGCCCTATAGCGCTAGCGACGGATCCGTTAACCGTCCGTTGCGGCCCCAGTTAATATCTTAGAGGACCCTCCTGTAGACCCACCTATTATACGGCCTCCTGGCTTCCTCTTATACTTCCGGCTAGCTCCTGCATATATGACTAGTCCGCTTACGGGTTACTATATAGCTTGCGGAGCCCTCTATTTTGGTTATACGGATAATTGCTTTAAGGCCTATTATAAGAAGAGTAATATAATACTTCCTTTAATCCGCAAGCCTCCTCTATACCTCTCTTACCTCTTTACGGGCAATAATCCGCTCTACCGGGCCTTCCGGGCGAATATCCGGGTATATAATTATACTTTTGCCTTTATATTAGTTAAGTATAAGAAAGATATACGAATTAACTTCTCCTATAGGATCTAGTACTTTCAGATCTATAGCGAGCTCTTCTATTTCTAAGGCCCGCTATAGCTTGCTTTATATACCGAACCCTCCTTTATATAGCTCTTCTTTTATAATTCGCTCTTTATAACTAATATACAGGCTACTAACTTCCCTTACTTAGATTATATGGTTCTTTTATAGCTTACGGATATGCTTACGGATTATAATCCGTTTATTACGGTCTATAAGATAGCCCGCAAGTATCTTATAAGCCAGTAAACCGATTTCCGGATCTTACTTAACCCGCAAATATACTTAATCCTCGAGTCGGGTACTAATTATTATTATAAGAACCTCCTAATAAGTAATGAGGTTATAGCCCTTATTCCGGACAAATATATAGATATAAGCCGCCGTAATCTAGTACTTACGGTCCGTAAGGCAGGCTATAAACGTCCGCAAATATATATAGTTAATGTTATATATATAGTATATATATCGCTCTATTATGTCTTGCTCTTCTTATATGGTAACCCGGGCTAGTACTACGGTTTATAGTTATAGGACCATAATAGGACCCGTTAATAAATATGGCTCGAGTAGTAGGTCTTTTACTAGTACTATCTCTATATCCGTCTAGCCTTCTCCCTGCTCTTTTATACTAGCTGCCTCTTTTAGTAGTATGTCATTAATATATATATTACTTATAAGACTACCTTGCTTGACTAGCTCCGCTTATACTAGTAGAATATTCGTATAAATATCTATATAGGACTTGCAGATACTCTAATTCGTAAGGATATCCGTACGAGCAATATTAGCCATTACTTTATTCTTTTATTAAGCTTTACGGGTAGTAATCGCTTTATATAGTAGCTCTTTTAAGACTCGATAGCTATTATATAGTACTTTAGTAAGCCAAGCTTCTTTATTACCTTTATAGCTAACCTATACTAGCCTGAGATTATAGATTACCTCTTAAACGGGTAGTAAGTAATTAATTATCCGGATCTTTTTTACCGGGTCTTTATCCTAAAGATAAGAGAGCTTCTTGCAGATCTCAAGAACTACCTTTTCGGATAATATACGGGCTATATTTATATAATCGAGTACTAGAAGTATAGCCTTCCGTATATATACCTACTCTTATTCCTTAAGAGAGACGCCGTCTTCTTAATCCCTGATTTAGTTAATGAGGTTATTTATACCGAGCTCCTAGACCCGTTATAGGATTCTATAGGTGAATTTATGGCCATAGTTACTGGCCAGATATCTTACGGGCCATATAGCCTTAATAATAATCCGAAAGCCCCGTATATGGTCCGTAAGACGCCTATAGCCCTGCTCGTATACCAGAAGAGGTTCTCCAAAGTATTTGCGGCTATAATAATTATTTATAAGGATAGGTATCCCGAGTACTAGTACCGGGATAATGGCTATATGTTTACGGTCCGTAAACCAGGCTTTTCAGACCAGGAAGTCGTCCGTAATAACTACTAGGTCATTCCATATAACCCGTATCTTCTTTAGAAGTTCTGCTTATATATTAATATTAAGGTTTATATATCTATATAAGTAATTAAGTATATCTATAAGTATATTTATAAGGGAACGGACTATATAATTATTACTATCTCGGGAACGGATAATAAGATTACCTAGTACCTCTAGGCTCGGTATATAGGCCCTATAGAGGCTTTCTGGCGCCTGTTTGAGTACCTAATATACCAGGAGTTCCCCCCGGTTTAATATCTCGCAATTTACTTCCCTGGGTAATATATGGTCTGCTTTATGGCTAACCTCTTACCCGAGCAGATTACGGACCGGGCCGCAAATACCCGCTTAACCTTAATAGCCTTCTTTAAGTATAATATAATATACGAGAACGGATACTAGTACCTATATTATGAGTTCCTATAGTATTTTATATGGATTACTAAGACCCGGATATGGAAACGCTATAAGCAAGGGTATAATATTGGCCGTATTTACTATTATAGCCCAGTTTCGGGCGAGCGGTTCTACTTATGGCTCTTACTAATAGTTATATACGGTCCGCGGTTCTTTAATAAGCTTTACTTAATTAAGGGCGTCCGTTATCCTATATACTATACTACCTATATTACCTGCGGTTTGATAGAGAATAATTAGAAGTAGTTCTAGTACTTTAATAAGGCTATTTTATTAATAACCGGCTATGGTTTACGGACGCTCTTTCTTATAGGTATCTGCTAGTAGCTAATTACGGATATATGAGTAATCTGGGACCAGTATAAGAAGCATTTCTGCGATAACTTAGCCCGCAAGCTAGCCTATGACCCGTTAATTAATTTCCCGCTACCCTTGGTTAATCCTTACTATAATTATGGCCTCTTCTTACTCGGTCTCGGCCTTATAGATCTCTAGTAGACGCTTGCGGACATTACCTTACCTGAGAATACCTTTGACTAGACTATAAGCCACTATATGGCTAATCTACGGGTTAATCGCACCTATAAGACATTACTAGTAACCATAATACAAGCCTAGCTAAATATAAACTAGTACTCTTGCTTTTAGATAATTATGGCAGTAATTACGGATGATTTGCAGACGGCCCACTTTTACTTATAAGGCCCGGGCAGGACTAGTAAGACGTTTTTTTATAAGACCCTTTACTACTATTACCGTAGTTAAGGTAAGGTAGTCCTATATATGGCATTAACGGGTATTATGGCTCTTCTTCTCCCGGACGAATATATGTCTCACTTCTAGTTCCGGATTCCGCTCGAGCTTAATAAGTTATCCGTTAGTATAATTACTAAGACGAGCCGGCTCGGGGCTCTCTTGCGTTCTATAGACCTGATTATCTAGGATAAGGTGCCTATATAGTATAAGTACTACTTTGAGGTAGTATACCGGCTAATAATTGATTTATGGTCGGTTACGGACGATGTTCTCTTTGGAGAGGTACCCGTAATTCTCAGGGAGAACTTTGCCCAGATCTTACTAGTGGTCCTATATAGTTTACGGGCTAATATAATACGGGCCTGCCTATAGCGGACATAGATCTGGCTATGGCTCCGTCGGTTATTATTACGGATTAATATACGGGTCCGTAATAACCCGTCCGAGCAGGATTTTATAGACTAGATTAGTTATCTGCTATATAACCTGTCTTTAAATAGGCAGATTATACTCCTGCCTTTTATTCCGCATACCTAGTTAGTTACGGACCTAATTAATTACGTCTACCCGCAAGAATAACTCTTGCGGGCCCCGTATAACTATTGGGCCTTTAGCGGATAGGTAATCCTATTAACCCTGAATAATATGGTCCGTAAGCTTAACTAAATAATCCTGAATATATTTCCTGGCCAGGAACGGATATATTTTATAGTAGATTCGGCTAATATAAATAAGGCGGATCCTGAAATCGCAGAATTATCTCTAGAAGTCTTATAAAGTATCTGTTTACCGGGTCTACCCCTTTTCAAGCTATAACTCAAGATTAGTATACTCGTAATATTCTTGCGGAATCTCTATTTATAGGAAAGGCTTTATAATAGGTTACGGATATTGATTTATAGCTTTGAGAGGTTCTTGATTCATATATGGCTACTAGGTAGTGACTTTAATAGCTAATTATAGACGATTTCACGGATTAAGCTCTAGTTAACGGATTAGTAACTATCTTTTATACTTTCCCATAAGTAGTTTCTACTTGCTTTATTCTTTATAATAACTATTAATAAGTTATAGGGCTAGTTATTTAAGGTAATAGGAATGGATTTACGGTTGCCGGTCTTTTCTTATAGCCAGTTCTATATGGTAGCCTTACGGGTAATCTTATAAGCAGGGCTTTATATTCTTTTACTCCCTAATATAAACCATATGAGTAATATAGTATATCCAGAAATATTACAGGATCTTACTTAGCTTTTGACTTACTTACGGGCTATTTTCTTTCTTATATTATTCGTAAAAGCCTTTACTAAGTCATATACCCCCTTTAATTCTAATCCTATTCGGGACAAGTTTAGGGCAAAATTATTAATTGGCCCCGGAGCTTATATAGGGCCGCTAATTAATAATTTTAGTAAAGCGGCCCTAAACTTGTCTATATAATATTATTATATAATTGGACTACCTATTAAAATTCCTGGTTACGTATTCTTACTTAAGTAGGAATACCGAAACTTCTAGCCTATATTTTACTCTAGCCTCCTTTTCTCCTTTTCTCTAGCTAGTAAGCTTTCTTTTATAATAAATTCCTCTCCCTATAATTTTTATATAAGTTATATATAATATTATTTCTTTTCTTAATTTTCTTATAATCCTAATAATATAGTATATAAGATATATCTATATTATAGGGTTTCTTTCTTTTCTCTCTTCTTCTCCTATAGCTAACTTCTTTTTAGGCTAGCTAGAGAATATACTAGCCTGCTCTTGCTAAGCTCGATCCTAATATACCCTGGTAAACCCGTAGCGGTCTATAATAGCTAGTTATAGACAGGAATAAGAACCTATAGCCCCGTAAGTATATTTGGCAGACTAATATATAAATTAAATGAGACCGTATTCTGGCTATAGTAAATTCTCCTGCTTCTCCTAGCTTTTCTCCTTTATTACCCGGCTTCCGTTTACTCTTTTGGTTTTTACTAGCCTATAATCTTGGCCTAATAAATATTTAGTATAAGGATTATAGGGCAAGGTACTAGGGATTAGAGGCAATTATGGGTATATATTAGAGATTTGAGCTCTATTATAAGAGAAGAGATATAGTATTAGACGAGTTACGGGTATTACTACCCTTTTTATAAGTGCTTTTTAAGGGAGATAATTCGTAAGCCCGTAGCTTTTATTAGAATATAAAAATATATAACTTAATACTTGCTTTTATATCTATAAGCTATACTAAAAATACCCGTACTAATCTTTCTTGCGGTCTTTACTACTTTCAGATCTATAGAGAGCTATTTTATTACTAGGGACCCTTAGAGCCAGGCTTATAGCAGGTTCCGGCCTTTACTCAGTTATTTTTTTATAATCCAGAT